TATTTGTATTATTTTCTTTGTTTAGTTTGTATTTCTTTAATTCAATGGATAATTTCTTATTTTAATATTAACTACAGATGAGTCAATCTCTATCTCATCTATTTACTCTTTGTGACGGAAGAAGAGCTCTTCTAAGTTCCACACTGTTGTGATTGTCCCTGCATATAAATTCCTGGGGAAATACTCTAGTATGGATATGTCTCAGTTTTAAAAACTTCGCTAACCATTAAATTTCCTATGTGTAGTTCAATTTTATGCAAACAAATAGTATTTAAAATAATTTGAAGAAGATTATTAGAAGAGTTTTATTAGCGTTCTTAATAATTTTAATAATTAAACTTAAATTGGTCCTTAAGACAAACAAAAACCGTGAGTTCAACCAAAAATCGTAGGTCATGACTTCCCCAAAATGCTAGGTCTCTAGGTACCAAAAAAATGTGAGATTGCCGAAGAAATAGAAGGTGTTGGGCAATAACCAAGAAACAATCTAACTAACTAGTAATAACACACTCCTTCGAACATGAATCATATGCATGAGCACCTTATAAATTTAGCATTCCTATTGCATTAACGATCTTATATAGTACAAGAGTAGATTTAAATTGTGAGAGAATGGACTCCCTTCTTCTACTAAACAGTAGATACAATACTAGAAACTACAATTCCTTGTTAAACCATATTCTCTGTACCTGGCGAAACGAACACTATTAATACTTTTGCAATCTCTATCTCATCCAATCCAATCCAATCCAATCCAATCTCGTCTATTTGCTCTTTCTGACTGAAGAAACACGGCTTCACATGGTGGTGGTGGTGCCTGCATATAAACAGCTGGAGAATTCTAGTATGGATCCCATGATACATAAATAACTTTTGCCCATTTCAATGAAATTCTTAATCGGGAGAACATTAATTCAAGTAAAAAACATAAAGCTAGGGATGACTCTATATAGGGTTTGTGTTTGTATTAGAATTCTCGTTTGTGTAGTGCCTGTTAAAGCGTATTTGGGAAATATAGGTTGACTTTCTCGGTTTTAAAAACTTCACTAACCATTAAAATTCATATATATAGTTCAATTACATGCTAACAAATAGTATTTGAAATGTTTTGAACAAGATTGTTAGTAGAGTTTCAATATTGATGTTAATAATTTTAATAAATTAAAATTCCATTTGGGATGCCAAAAACTCCCATCTCCCTCCCAGATTTCGCTACATTTGCATCGTTTAGCCTAGAATTGTGGTATCTAAGACATCGCGACATAGATGTCGCTTTCGTTGAATTTGATTAGTTGTTAATAAACTTGTTATTGTTCATATCTTTTAAGTAAGATTTGATTGTTATTTTTATTAATCGTGTTTAAAGTGTTATTTTAGTGTTATTATTTGTTTTTACAGTGTTATATTTAAGGGTTTGAATCCCTCTATATTTTTAGTATTTAGTTTATATAAGAATGATCAATAAATTAGAATTAGAATTAGAATAACAGGAGCATTTTCATAAGTCTTAAGTGAAGCCATAGGATTGGTGGAGGCATAAGTCGTGAATCAATCACTCCAACTATATTGGCACTTACACTCATTTTACCAATATCAGCACCTTTGAAACTTACCACTGAATAAGAAAAGATTAAGTAAAGTACTTTCCCTTTTCGCCCTGCATGTCTCGCACTTACGAGTTTTTCCTCAAAGTTGTGACAGGTTTATTTTTGGTGGTCGCTAGCAGGAACCCGAATTGAATGAGTTGTCGTTGAACATTTAGTTGAGTACATGATAAGTTTACTTTGTCAATACTAGCTGGTCATCTATGTTAGAGGTGTCTTGGTTCACAGATGACTTAGAATGTTTTAGAAAAAATCCCCTAAGATTGGTCGTAAATTGGGTTTACAGGAAATCCAAATATGAATTTCAATTATCGGTGAATATAATGGAAATTGGTTTAAGTATTAGTGCATACAAAGGCACCTATTGTTTACAAATGAAATGTGGGTGTCGGTCAGTAGGCTAATTAGTAATTTCAACGGATATCGCCCGGGCCCTTAAGGCGGTACATTGGAAAATAAGGTTGGTTACATAAAGGTATAGTATCCAAGATGTTATTTAAGGTATTCTGCAGATAACATTGAATGACAAATTTAGAATTCTGAGAGGAGTCAGATTCTAAGGTAGATAGTAAGAACACACGGGTAAAGGCATGCCTGTCAATAGTGAATAACGTATGAAGTGTTAAAGTTCTGAATAAAATAAAATGAAACTTGGAAATCATTGTTGAGGTATAATGACTTAATCTAGGTTTGAAATGCGTCAAATTACCAAGGCGGTAAAGGTGATAACGCAAATTAAAGTTTCGGAATTTCAAGATAACATAATGGATGAATTGATAAGAGGTCCTGGTATCAGTCTGATGTGGTTGATTACCATTGTTTATGATCAGAAACGCCTCAGTATTCATAGAGATAAACTTGAAATTTTCATCCTGTGTGGTTATGAAATGGTCCTTGTCTTTGTTCGCAAAGATTTAGAGTTAGAAGAAAACAATATAAGTGGAGAAGTTGATGGGGTATAGCATTGTTTGCATTTAGAGAATTGCTGGTATTACTTTGCCACCGTACAGACATAAGTGAAATGTGGCAATGTGTGAGATTTGAATATATAAGTAGGTTACTTTTCTTCCAAAGTTGAAAGTCGAAAAGAGTTTTAGAATCACGTACTACTTAGTAAAAAAAAAAGAGCCCAAACCTCAAAGCATCTTAAGAGTTTTATTGAAACAATGTCTTCCTCAAAGCAATCCCCAACTTCAAGTGACAACGATGATCATTATGAAACTGATCATGGTGAAACTGATTACTCTGGAGGTATCGATCCTAGAAGTATCCACTATAAGAATGAAACAATTAAAGGTGCTCAAGCTGAATCAGTTCCTCCAAAGGATGGTGAAGAAGTCTCTCTTGTTAGAATTATTGAAAGACAACATGCAACAGACATTAAACTTGACAAGATCATTGAAATACTTTCCGAAGTTAAAGAAGGTAATGCACGCTTATCCAGAGCTGAGAATGATGCTCGGCTTACAGCTAGTATGAAAAACGCAGCAGCTAGCATGATTGATGTTGGTCAGAACAATGGTGTTACTACCCCAACTAGTGATAATTAATCAGTTAGGTCAGAAAGATCTGTCCGTGGCAGAGCAGATATGGAAGGTATTAGGGCTCGGTTTGAGAAGTATCAGGCTGAAGACTCTGATAGATTTGAATTCTCGGATTTTCTTGGAGATATTGGAGAGGAAACGGAAAAAGAAATGTGCAAGTATCAGCATATCTTATCAGATCTCCAGAGAAAATATATGATTTACGTGATGATTATAGGAAGGCACAGAAGGATGTTTGCCTGATAGTAAGGATGTTGATTCAGTTGCTTCTTTCCATCAATGGTTGCAAGAGTTACTTTGGCACAAAGCTAAATACATGGTTCCTGATCACATTATTAGGCCTGCGGTTCTTACTGCTGTTGGTAAAACTGGTAGACCAGCGTTGAGAGAGTTAGCAGTGTCTTCTATTGGAGCTAATATAGTTAACAAGTATCTGCACATCAAGTATAAAGAATTGTTTAGTATGGTTAGAGCTAACCTTCCACCGAAAGTTAATGATCCATTAGAAAGAGTTAAGGAAAGATTCGAAAACTGCGAAGACTTAAACATAACCATGATGGTTTATATTAGCAATGACATTGCTGATTTTATCGATCTTGGTGAATTATCTGAATCTACTGTTCATCACTGGTTAGGCATTTGGAAAGAATTATTTAAGAATGCACCCAAGTCAATGGAGATGATCCTTCCAATAGTGGACGATTAGTCTAAAGCAATCTTGAATAGAATTGGTTTGGCGGAACGTCTGAACGAAATCCTATTACTCGAGACATTTGAGAAACAAAAGAATTTGATAAGCAAAGAAAACGGATGTAGAAAATTATGGGATGATTTCAAGAAACAATTTGATATAGTTGCTCCATTATATCCATTCACTGATTCGGTAGGAAAAACCAGAAGGAAAACCGGATCAAAAGCAATGGCTCATAATAGTGGTAGAGCTGATGGTCAAACAACGAAGAAGGCTAAGCCCAAGTTTTGCAATGTTTGCGGTAAAGAACATTATTGGCAACATTGTACTAAATTGAAAGAATTGAAGAAGGAAAAGTTGATTAGATTCTTTGATAATGTGCACCATGATAAGGATGGAAATGAACTTCCTGTCAGAGACAATGAAGCTGTATTAATTAAGTATGCTGATAAGTTTCCAACTGCGGGGCCTCGTACCGCTTAAAGTTAATGAAGTTGAGTTTAATGTAGACGTCGGTGCTGTCAAAGTTACAAGGCAAAGGAACCTAGCTACAAAGAAGGATGAGACTGAGTTCAGTGATAGGAAACTGGCAGCAAATAAAGTGGAAATGAAGGCAAAAGAAAAGTGGAAGGATTATGTGAAAGAAAAGAAGGCATATGAGAGGGAGCAGAAGAAGGTAAAACAGATTCCAGATCCAAATGATAGAATTTGTGATTTCCAAATGAGTGTTTTTGGTAACTTCCTCAACTCAGCTTTTCGCGTGCAATGTAAGACTAAAGACAATGTAACACTAAAGAAGAACTTCTTTAGTGTTACATTGTACTGGAAAAGTTCTTCTTTAGTGTTACATTGTACGAGAAAAGCTGAGTTGAGGAACTCCCTTATTAGTAAATACGGCAAGGGGACACCTTATAAATTCACCATTCCTATGGCACTAACGATCTACGTATACAATAGAAGAGTATATTTAAATTGTAGAGAATGTAGCCGCCTTCTTCTTCTACTCCAATAGAATACAATACTAGAAACTACAATTCCTAGTGAAAAACAAATTTTATCTACCAGGGGAAACCCTAATAGTTAAGGTGTTAATGGTTTGACACTGGGTTAGCCCAAATACTTGCTTGCAAACGTGTTGGTAATTCATTGAAAACAAACACCAACAGGCGACTCCTTGCAGGTGGGCTAACTTAGTGTCAAACCATTAATACAAAGTTATTAGTGTTTACCCTGGTAGATAAAAGCTCTCACCCAGGAAACGTAGAAGAAGAAGACTCATAATAAAAACGCGAAAAAAAAAACGTTTATTTTTTTTTTTTTTTTTTTTACAAACTAGGCATT